CCCACCTCCTGGACAGCTCACTAAGAATGCAGCTTCACAATGAATGTAAAATGGATGCTGTCCAGGAGGTGGGAGGTCTGGGAGGGAGGGTCTGCTGCTGATTGGCTGGAATGTGTCTGCTGACTGTGAGGTACAGGGTCAAAGTTTACTCAATGATGAGTCTGTGGCGAACTGTTCGTGGCGAACCGTTCACGAACCGTTCGGCGAACAGTTCGGGACATCACTAATAATAACTAACTGTAAATCATTTTTGAACTTTCAATTCATATATATTGCTCCTCATAGGGCAAGGGACATTGCATAGACATGTAAGTCCCAGCATCAATTGCTTCTTTGTATACTACATATTGCACAAACTATAAAATCTCTCAAGATGTTACCAATCAGATATTTCATGTTGTAACCAATTGCATTACCCCTTTTACCTTCACACACTTTTTTTTTCTTTTTTGTTCCTGTTTTTCCTTTTCAAATGTTTTTTATTATTTTAAAAATAATAACAATAAATTGTAAATTTGTGTTAACATTTCAACAATCAATAATGTGTATACATATGTAACATATATATATAGATAGATAGATAGATAGATAGATAGATAGATAGATAGATAGATATCTACATATATATATATACATATTGACATAATAAGAAAATCTTTAAAATCTTTAAGAAAAAACAGGGGGAAAAAACTGGGGGGAAAAAGATATGAATACATTTTGCATCCACATTATAACATGAAATAATTGAGTTTGATTAAAAATTAGTGTATGAATACAAATTTAAATTATTTATGTATTATGCATTTGTGCAAATGTCATATATTAAAGTATAATCATGGCAAATAATGAATCAAATATAAGTGGTTAGATTATTTTCGATCAGGTGGAAACATTGTCAAGCTTGTACTTACTCCTCATAGCTTTCTACCATTTAGACCAGTCGTGTCTGTGGAGTACGCTAGTAGCTGCTGGTATACAGAAAGCGAGTTCACAACGTTTATTCTCAAATAATAACAATAAAATATATTTGACAGAGGGATTAGTATTAGATTTCTAATATCTTGGAATGACTGTTGTAGATGAGATAAGAAGATGGCCTAACATTATTCTTTTGTGTGCTGCTAAGGTATCTGGGAAATCTTTAAGTAGGCACAAACCAGGGGTTAAATCAAAAGGAAACTCTGTGATGGAAAATTACTAGTCAATAATTTGATC